CCTCTGTCTCACTCAAGCTTCGTTCCCCAAATTCTCACGTGCAGCAGCTTATCTTCCACGTCCATCCTCCAAACGCCCCCCCCCCCCACCGTTGCCGCCCTGGAACCCCCCCTCTTCCGCCTCAACCCTTCTGGCTCAACCCAAAGTTCCCCAACAAAAAAATGGACACCACTGGAGGGTTAGGGGGGGCGGCGATTCCACCCCCGTGGAGGTTGCTTAAAAAAACGGGGAGCGGCTTTTTGAAAGGGGGCAACGGCCCCCGCATTTTGCGGTCGTGGGCCCGCGCCCGCTTTTGGAATCCTCCCCCCAACTTTTGATGAAAAAAAAAAAAAAAAAGGGAGGTGGGGGAGTTGGAAACCCCTCCTATGATCATGCTTGATTAATTATTTTAATATAATTTTTCACTGGCCCAACGGTTCTCCCTTTAATAGCTACCACCTCTTCACAGGTGCTCGTCTTTTTCGCAACCCTCTGTCCCCTCTCAACTCTGTAGGGTAACCAACAGGGAACATGTTCAGCGTGGGTGGGATTCCAACTTCTTTCTCTTCTTTCGAGAAAGTCGGATCCTCAAGCTCTGAACCGTCAAGCTTCTCGAGCTTGGGCGAGGGCAGCGCCTGCAGCTCGAGCAACACCTGTGCACTCGTTCCTCGGGTAAGGACACAACACGGTTTTCCGTTTCAACAGGTGTCCTTTAGGGTTGATACCCCTCCTTATGTTGTGTAACATCCTGCGAGCCACACACGCCCGTGAATTTTTTTCTTGTCCTTAACCGGGGGAGAGTCCTTAAAAATGGTCCCATAACCGAGGGACGACTGCTGTCGTTGGAGGCGAGGTGCACGTCGTTCGTTCCCACGCAGAGACACCACCACCACCAAACCTCCTTTAACCGCGTTTGCCGTTGATTTTTCTCTAGAGCAACAGACAAAAAAGCCTCGCTCGCTTTCATCGTTTTACTGCTGCGCACTGGCTGCTGCTTTTTCAGAACCAACTAAAATTTTCCATACACGGACGGTGTCTTGCCCTCAACTTTCTTGGTTTCGTCTGGCCCGACAACATTCGCTAAGCGGATGCGGATATCCGGCCGGGTGCACGACATGTCCGGTGGCAACAAAAACGGCGGCGAAAATAAACTATCTACTGTATGGGGGGTGAGGTAGACGCGCGCGCCTTTGTGACACCCAGCGGAGCGGCGGACGTTGCGAGACGCTACACCAAGAGGGAGGCCTTTAACGGTTGGTTGTACATGTGCATACCCGAATACAACACAAGAGTACACTCAGAGCTCTGTCTGTCTGTCTGTCTGTCTCTCTCTCTCTCTCTCTCTCTCCCAAGAAACAAGGCTCCTGCTACGCACGGTGGTAAGTACTACGGAAAGCCGCGAAGCGAGCGACGCGACGAGCTACCACAACCTCACCATGCCGAACCCGGTCGTTGCCGTGACCATGGTCAGGGGCACCCCCCAGTCGGCTTGCTCGTCGTTGGACCCGACGATGAGGGACACGAGGCAGGCGGTGAGAAGGATGGCCCCTGCGGAGATCGTTATCGCGGCCGCTCGCTGGCTAGGGGTCAGTTCCACCCTCCGCCGGACGGGGCTCGAGCACGACACGTACGCCTCGGCGTCGGTGGGCGGCGACTCCCGCCCAAACCCACCAAACTTTCCGCTTGTTCCCCCCCCGGCAACCTGCTGCTGCTGCTGCTGCTGCTGCTGCTGCTGCTTTCCTTCATACTCGTCGTCATCGCTGACAAGTGGATCCTCAGAGTCGCCATCACCGTACTTCTCGCCGCTCCACCATGTCCGACGCCACTGCCAGTGGCATCCCCCGTTCTCTCCTCCGTCGCCCGCGTAACCCCTCCTCCCCCCCAAGCAACAGCAGAACCAGTACCCGACGCCGCCGAGCCCGCGGAGGTCGCGCACGCCCCCGAAGAGGCCCGGGAAGGTCAGGCTCCTGCGCGTGTAGTTCTCCCACAGGGCCCCCAGGTAGACGGTCTCGAGCATGCAGACGATCACCCACAGCGGCAGGAAGACGTAGCCCCAGTGCACCTTCTCTATGGCCTCCATCACCGCCCCCGAGCCCCCGGCGACGCTGTCGATCTTCAGGACCACGAGCACGGCGGCTAGCAGCGTCAGGAGGATGACCGGCCTGCGCCCGAGCACAACCACCAGCCTGTTGCCGCCGACCCGCAGCACGGGTGCCCCGCCGTACCCGCCGCTTCCGTCCAGGATCACCAGCGAGTGGAGGGCGAGGAGCGTCAGGGCCAGCAGGCCCGGGCTCGCGATCCAGAAGGCCGTGAGGTGGTGCGACGAGACCCCCAACAGACGCAGCGAGAGGAGGATCATGAAAACGGACAGGGTCACCCCGAACGCCGCCATGGTGAGCCAAAGCCGCAGCCACGCCTGCAGCAGGACGCTCACCCGCACCGCCCTTTGCGCGGAGCGGTGGCTGTCGCCTTCGCCCTCGCCGCCGCCCGAGGACGTTGTTGCCGGCGGCGCCTTCGGCCACTTGAGTCCCGGGGTGGGAGGAGAAGAACGTGCGGCGGCGGAGGCTGCTTCAATGTCGTCTTCGTTGTCGCCGTCATCGTAAGACGAGGTTTTGGAGGGGGTCGCCCCCGCCGCCGCCCTCGGCTCATGATATCTTTTTCGTTCTTCGCTCGTATAAGCATCGGGAGAAGCGGTCCCGACCGGTGGCAGCCCGAGGGCCAGGGTCCGCTGCGTGGGGGAAAGCCGCAAAACGTCATCTTCGTCGAATCCGCCGCCGCCGCCGCCGCCGCCATTGTCGACACCTCCCCGCCTAACGATACCGCTGCCGCTGCTACTCCACCAGCCTTCGAACTCGTCCGCCTCCTCGACTTCGTCCCTGCCGGCGCCCAGGCAGACATCCGCGGCGGGGGCGGCGCCGCCGGGCGGAGTCTCGCCGCGCGACAAGTGGCGTCGGGTCCGCGATGACGGCGGCCTGACCAACGCCGACCACCGCCGGACACGAGCGGAGCTGTCCGTCGTGCCACCGCCCCCGGCGGCGGCAACATCCATGTCCCGCTCCGCCGCCTCCTCCTCTCTCTGCCGCTGCAGGCTCGCCCGGGCGCTCCTCCGGCGCAGCTGCCGGCGCATCCTCCTGACCGAGAGCATCCGCTGCGCCTCCTCGCGGAGCATGACCCGCCGCACCCGCAGCAGGGACCGGATCAGCTCGAACACGAACCACACGGACGCTAGCACCGCGGGGATCATGCACCACATCACGCTCAAGCTCTTTTCGAGTCCGTTCTTCAGCTGTGACGCGACGCGGGTTGAGAGAGGAACAGCGGGGGGGGGGGCGGTGAGAAGGTGTGGCAGGGAGTGACAGCTGCTGCACGAGGAGGACACCGAACGCAAACGCTGGGGGGGGGCGCGTGCGGTTGGGTAGCGGGGGAGGAGGCGGTGGTTTGGCTTTGAAGCTCTCTCTCTGAGGGCAGATGGGTAGATACACGGTACAACCTCACGGCGTACGGGAGGGGGGCGTACGTTGAACCATGTCAAGGCAGGCGCCGTCGTACAACACACCCATGCCGCCGTAATTCCTTGCTGAACACATGCCGTATACTGCTGTGGGGGCAGGCCGGCTCGGTGGTGTCGAAGCGCGCACGCGCGGGGGGAAATTATTTTTTGTCTTCACTTCATATCATCGTCCTTCACCGCATCCACACAAGGAAGCCGGACGCTCATTTGTCAATCTCCTCCCCGCCAGATGCCGCTAGTCTGCAAGCACAGGACGTCAACGATGCTGAAGATATTCAAGACAAAAAATTGATGCACGTTGTGGCTGCTGTCTACAGCAGTTGTACATTACACAGTCGTGGCGTCCACCAAACGTACACATGGCGGTGACGCGAGGGTCCAAAACGACAGCTGAACACGAATGGAGAACTTGACTCCCACGATTTTTGTTGCGAATACAAACAACAAGAGTTGAGCTTAAAATTGATAGCTGCACTTGATCATACCCTATGCGGGTCGTTAAAAAATTGCCGCGCATAAGGCTAAACAGACAAGGGGCCCGCGGGGACAACACGCCGCCATCCCCTCGCAACGAAGGGAGGAGGCCGATTCTCATATGATATTTATCACCACAGCAGCGATTTATCCCAGAAAGCTTAGACTGACGCCGTTTCACTCGTCAACCAGTCGGCACGGTTGACGCTAACTAACGGAACACTGGGACACATGTCCACGGAATGCACGCAATCGCACCGCTGTCGCCCGCGGTCTTACCCGTGGGAGACGCTGGGTTTTACCGGGTTGTACGGTAGATAACACACGGCATTCCCATTCACCACTTAGATCCCCTTCCCACTATTAGTGTTGGATGTCGTATCGATTTTTTCGATATACATATCGCATCGAATTATCGTATCGATATCAGTTATATCGAAAAAAGTTGGTTCTTTCGATATTTCGATAATTCGATATCGATATTTCGATAATTCGATATCGATATTTCGATAATTCGATATCGATATTTCGATAATTCGATGAACACTCCACGGAACCCCCCACAGCAGCACGTCGCAGCACTGCTGTGCACACCCTCGAGGTCGCTAACGAGCGTGCGGGGTTCGAACATCCACGTCACGAGAGCAAGGACTGGGAGAGCGCGGAGATGATGGTGACGACGCTGGAGGCGTTTGCGGATGCAGTCGAGGCCTTGGGAGAGTGATGCCCTTGGCCTGGCGGAACTTTCCTGCGTCATGTCCGTCTTGAATGCTCACATCGAGGCGGAGGCAGCGGCTTTTGACGACGGCCCGTTCGCGGATGTTGGCGAAGCAATGCTAAATAGTCGACCACGCCGACCGCTGGGACCGAGCTTCCCGGGGTTGTCGAGATGGCATCCGCGCTAAGCCCACGCACGAAAGGGTTCGAGTGGCTGTGTTGAGCCGCGAGAAAAAAGCTTGGCCGAAACTTCTTCTGGCCGACCTGAAGACCCTGTTCTCCAAAGACATCGCCGCCGAGAACGAAGCAGGCGGGTCCGCGGATCGTGGTGGTTCCGGCGGCACGTCGGACGAACAGCCCCCGGCGAAGAAGCAGAAGAAGAGCTTTCGCTCCAGGTGTGTATCGACAGCGAAGGCAATGGGTATAGACGGTGGATCGAGTAGAGCGGATGGTGATGGAAGCAGAAGCGCCCAGCCTTACTCCGGAAGGCTCCCACTTCAGGCACGGATGGACGCGGCCGAGCTGGAGCTTGGGCGGTTCATTGCTGAAGAAGGCCTCGACGAAGGCTCGAACGGACAGGATGATCTGAAATGGTGGTGCCGGCACCAATCCGCGTTCCCATCTCTTGCTAGGCTGGCAGTGAAGTACCTCGTGATCCCCCCGTCATCGGCTGCGTCTGAACGCTTCTTTTCCATGGCCGGCAACATAGTCACGAGGAAGCGCAACCGCCTCGGGGAGGACACGATCGATGCGCTCGTGTTCCTGAATGGCTCCCACGGGCTGTCGTGGTCCAGCGGCATTTCGCAGAAAGACCTCGGCCGGAAGCAGAAATGAACTCTCGTCGCGTGTCGTAGAGATGTTGCGAAGTGGTGTCGTGGTGATTCTCTGCGTACTTCATACGGATGGTTTGTTGGGCGTCGGGTGGCTGGCTTGCTTCCACTTTTTTCGTATTTCTTTGTGGGTCGTGGTTCGGTAGTATAGAACGCAGTGAAGGAGGTCACTAAATAGAGGTCACGAAATGTGAACATGTATTTAGCCGATAGCGGGAAGCCAAGCAGCGGTAGCTTTGTGAGAACGTGGCTTTCTAGGACAAGGTTGCGATAGTTAACATGATGACACCATGAAACACTTGCTGCATCTTCCGACTTCATGCGTTCACCCTAGTAGCTAGTTCACCCACCCGTTTTTTTTGTTCAAATAGGTGGCTGTACCCTGCCGGCTTTGGAGGCCTATTTTTCGAAATATTGTGATGGGAAATGAAGCGAAATTGCTCCAATTTTTTGGCCTCCGGCGGCGCCTCCAGCGGGGCCCCCTCACCAGCCGGGGGGGGCCGTTGGGGCTCGCACAGCGAGCTTCCGCGCCTTCGCGCGTCAGCTCACTGCGCTCGCCGGCTCGCTGCACTCGCCTTCGATGGGTCGCTTCGCTCTCAATATCGATATCGTATCGAATCGATTAGTGAATCGATATCCAACACTACTTCCCACACATGTCACAATAAATACATCACTACATGTACTACAGCAGTACCGTAAATACGGCTGCGAGCTGTAGACCGTGCGTTGAAGCGACTCTTTACTCCCATCGCGTATCGACGCACGTGAACGTGACGTGTCCCGGTGACTCTGATCAAGGAGGCCGGCTTTGGGGCAACAAAACGGAGGGTAGACTAGACTGTGCAACACCTTCATATTTCCGTGATCGTCAACACGCTATTTATATAGGGTAGAGAGAGATCGGAACGGTTTTTAATGTGAAGACAACAACATTAGTCTATTTAGTCATGTGTGAGTTTGGTGCTCTCTTGTATGTGATGCAGACACGATTTTTCCAGCAGACAAACAGGGCAATCCATGAAGGAGACGTTCGGCCAAAGCCCATGCATGCAGGGGGGATTTGCAAGAGTGAAGATGTTTCGTTGGGCTCTTCCATGGGCCATGTTGTAGTCTCGACGGGTTGACCGCTCGCCAACAGACTGTATTCCGTGCAAGGAGCAAGTCGGATGACAAAAAATGCGGAAGCAGCGAAGAAAATGGTGCCCTACAAGACACAGGACGGACGACGAGAGCATTCACATCTCCCTCTCGCAGTTGGTAATTGAAAAAATAGCGGGGCAACAAGGACACTTTCCCTCTTTCGATTTGACGCAAGTGCTGCTCGTCGTCTCCATATCCATCCACACCAGAGGAGGCAGTGTAACACAGGTTGGCACAACACACAGACCAACTATACATGATGCATGTGCTGCGTAGATTCCGCGCACACACACCGCCGGTATATCTTATCTACACATCCAACCAACGACTCACCGTGCCAATCAGGAGTGAGCAGCACCCCGCCGCCGTGAACACGGTGCAGGAGCGCACGAGCAGGGCCGGCAGCTGCTCTAGGACAACGACGCTGTCCTGCTTCTCCTCCTCTTCATGATGATGATGCCGCGAAAACGCGCCGCCGCCGTTGCCGCCGCCCCCGCCGCCGCCGCCCTCCATGCCCTTCGTGATCGATTCATCCGCATCGGCGCGGGCAAGCAGCGGGATTCGCTCGCCGACCGTCGCCTCCTCTTCAAGGACAAAGGAAACCCTCTTAACACTCCTTGGCATCGTGGAGAGACGCGGGCACTCGGCCGGCGGGGTGTCTGGTACACAGGCGGGCGGTCGGGTGCCCACCAAAAAACTAAAAAACTCCTAGGTGTCTCGCTGAACTTGACCTTTGAAATGCATCATGTGCGGACCACACTCAACGCACTACAGTTCGGGTGGCAGCGCAGAGTGCAGAATGCGGGTAGGTGTCATAATGGAGAACGTGATATTGTGCCCCACCGCCACCCTACAGAGTACACACAGCTGTCGCTTTCGTCACTCTCGCGGCGAGCCGGTCAACGTTTCCAGAACTGACGTCAACGAGAGAGAGAGGGGGGGGTGCCAGGTGAGGAGTGCCGGGGGTAGTGCATGGCAGTGGCGTCGTACGCGATAGCAAGACTCTATTTTTCTGCTGTGCTGCTTTCTTTTCCCGCATGATGAGTGTGCATTTTGTAGCGCGTCCCAGCCTGAAACCCTCGAGGAACAGGCAGTGTCCGACGACTCTGCTCTGTACGTGGATGGACACATCACATGCGTGGGTTCGGGGGGTCGCAGGACCCTTTCTCATCTCAATGCGATCAAGTCTTTGCGCAATGCCTGATCGAAGGAGGGATGGCGCCAATTGCGAGCGAATGTTCAGCAGTCGCGATGCAACACCGTCACAACCTTTGGGGCGGCCTTCTCCGACTGCCTCGTTCGGACTGTACATGCGGCGGTTGCGGAAGTCAGACTTTTCGAAAAATATGCAGAGAGAGAGAGAGAGTACGTGCTACAAGCTACTGCATGAATGACCCCGTCGATGTGTAGCGTAGCATGCTGCTAATCTGCTGTTCAGCTCGTGGAATAAGAGGTTGCCGCTTTTCCGCACGAATGACGACATGATCGGTCATCTGTTACAACGTTACAACAAAAACCCTGCTTGTGTACGGCATCAGACCATTGCGACGACACGGCGACGCATACAGCGTTGGCCGATCGAAGTATCTCTGGCTGCAAGTCCGGCCAAGCGAGGTTTGGCTTCCCCCCCTGACTCTGTGTTCTGACGCACCGTAGCACAGACCCCTGGGCGATCGTCTTTCCTCATATTCGTTGATTCTAATAATCGGTCTGGTGGTGGGCGGATCGCAAACAACGCGGGTCCAGGAGTCTCACACCACGAACCCGCGCAAACCTCCAAACAGGGAACGTTTTTTCGCTGCTGCTGCTGCTGCTGCTGTGGGGGAGACTTACAGGAAAGAGCCATGCTTCGGAGAGGGCTGTTGAAGTTCGTGGACAGGGAGCCCGTGGCCGCGGTTTCGCTGGGGCTGGGCTTCTTCGGATTCTCGCTGCCGTTCATCGTGCCCCCCATCAGACAGAGCCTCGGGCTCTGCACCAAGCAGGTGCGCGACGACAGCACCACCACCTCCCCCTGTGTGTTCCTTCTAGATCCGCGGCCCGGTTGGCTTATCAAGCGAGCTCGAGTTGGTGCCAAAGGCTGCCTTGCCCCCCTTCACTAATAGCGTGCACGGGTTGTTTTCTGTGCTGGTGTCGACCAAGCTGTGCTGCTGTAGCGGACTGGCCAATGAAGAGACGCCAGTCTCACGAACGGCAACAACGCCTTCAAGCGCGCGGGTTGTGTGTCCGTGTGAGTTTGTTTCGTTGCGGCGTGTTAGGACCGATGAGCCCTGCACTCGCATGTTGGAATAAATGTCCTGGGAGCACTCTGGTGTGTCGGTAGTGTGCGGAGTTCTTACACCCTTCGATAGGGAGGCGAGATTCCGTTGTTCTGCCTGTTTGATACCAAGTTTTTTTCGCCTGTTTTATCACCAGGTTACCTACTGCATCATCTCCGTTGTTGGTGAGCATAGTGCGCCCGAGCTTGTAGACACTGATGCCAAAAACAATACACATCTGGGTGGGGTATTGGACCGTATATTGTGCCATATGGTCCGGTTGCACAGACTCGCGAAAGATCTGCCTCCCGCTTCGCGCGACGGCAGTGATGCGCCGGCACTCGTTTGACAGCTTTTGACCGAAACGCCACATGCGCGGCTGTTGTCCCCGTAGCCTCCTGTGTAGTCGGAACCGCCCAGAAGGATGCAGAAATGCGTTGGAACGAGGTGTCCCGTTATCGAAGCAGACACCCGTGCTCACGTCCAATCGTTCGCGTTACACCAATCCTATAAAGCCAGTTTTGTAGATAGGGATAATCAGCCACTCCTACATAAACAGCTCCGCTGTAGTTGAGATCCAAAATTCCTCCAGCCCTCTATGAAGAATTCCTGAGAAATGTTTTACACGTTGACATCATTGCACACGCTTGGTTAGGGGATCGAGGTGGACAACAGCGCTCAAAATATTATCCTTCTGTTTTTCTCTTAAGAAAGTTGGAAGCAGACTCGTTTCTGTCATGGATTTTTCTTTCAACAGATTTTCGGTTGACCACGGGGCATGCCTGCTCAGCTGCTGCGATTTGTAACACCTCTGGAGGGACCGTCGTGGAGTAGATCAATTTGTTTTTTTTAAAGCCTCTAGTGATATCTGTGCCATTCTCCGCTGCGGCGGAAGCACCGCTCGATTTCGTCGGCTCTTTGGATGCGAGCCACGCTCGTGAAGCTTTTGGTGCTGTGTGTGGGCTTCGAAACGAGCCTTCACAAGGAACAGCACTGCTGTCCCTTTGTTATGGCGTGGTTATCTCTCCGTTCCAAAGCCAGACCATGGCGTACAAACGATCTGGCTTCATGTAGAATCCTCTTACTAAATTCAAAGCAAGCCGCGGTCTTTGCGAAAAGACGCTGAGGGACGGGACAATATATGGGAGAGACGTTCCGTCATCTGATCAGTTTTTTTGCATGACGGTGTAGCCTGTAAAACGCTGGTGGTTGCGCGGTCGATGATTCGCCCACCCCCTCCCCCAACCCTTCCTCTTGCAGGTACTTTTGCTGGTGCTTGTCCTAAGCAAGTCAGCTTTTCTTTTTCTTGTTGCACACTTGAATGGTGTCCCTTGTCACAAGGCGTTGCTGGAGCAGCCTGGTTTATATGCATATGACGACAGATAAACTCGTCTACATTTTTCACGCCGGCGTTTGTGTGCGTATCTGTTGGAAACGGAGATGTTTTTGTTTTTTGCACCTTTCGAACGTGCGTATCCCCATCGCTCGCTGTGTTGCGTGTGTGTGATGAAGCGTACATCTGAAACTGTTTGCAAGAAAAAACAAGCGCGCTTGTTGTGGGGCGCTCGGTGTCGACGGTCGCCGTCCGAATGAAAACGGTATCCTCACCCAGGCATTCGCCTCCCTTCCGGCCGTCGCTCTCTCGTTTTCCTCTTGCTGTTTTTTTTTTTTTTTTGGCAGAGCTCACCGACATGCGAGCTTCCTAAGCCAAGAATGGCGCCGGGAGTAGCTCAATCGGGCTGACTTGTCCGAAACGTTGTCGGCTCTAAAACCTCGCGTCTAAATAGGTTATGTTGGGTCTTACAGACTGGTATCTCGCAGCAAAGCAGAATGGTGCGGTCGTACAAGCGCAGACGGTAAGATATTTGAACGGAGTCGTAAAGTTTGGCCGCGCCGCATCGCGGAATCGCCGGGGAGCGGAGGAATGCCAGAGTCCTGCGTGCCTAGCCTCGGTCCCGGCTTACGTCTCGGTGCTAGAGCGTCATGTTTTAGTTAGCGGCGGTGGTCCACGGCGTGAGGCAGGGCTGCCGATGGGCGACGACCTTGCTCGGTTGGATGAGATGATCTCTCCGTCTTTGGATGTGTGATACCTTAAGAGGGGTGATCGATGGGTGGGGATCTCAGGTTATTTTTTCGGTGGACGTCAGTCGCGGGGGTGCAGAGCTGGGTCCTACGACGATGGGAAGCATATGCTTCACAAACGAACATGGTTCACGCGGTGATGGCGGCAAGACGTGTGGGTGCAGTGCCGTGTTTGCGGCGCCTGGCCGTGCGCGGAAATGGCACAACACTGCCGTTCATGTGATGGAAATACTGTTCTTATCGCGGGTTCGCTGATCAGACATGGATAATTGCGTCTGCGTCGGTTGAGGGTGTACAGGCTCGCAGAACATCTCTTCGAAATGGCTTCACGTTGGATTTGAGGTAACCGGAATGACGCATGTTTTTCGGCTGTCTTGTCGAATACCTCGTGTTAGGGTTGTGGCATTCTGTGTCGAGAGTTGTTTGGGTGGATAGTATCACTTTCGAATCTTCGAATCGATTCCTCAACGACAACCACAGGGAGTGTGCTATCTGCTGTAGGGATGGTGTATCCAACCCGCATGTGTGGGCCTGCACAGCACTCTGGTGTGTGCTGGGGTACAGGGACTCGATTTGATGTACGCGTTTTTACGGGTGCGATCGTGGGCATGTAGGGCCCGGTGTGTCCGTTCCTATATGTACGGCATCGTCCATCAAAGTTGGATAACGTCTAGGGGCTGCGTATGCTCCTGATGAAGACGCGACCGAACAAACGCAAGCCAACGGCGACTTCGTAGTCCCCGATAGGCCAAAGGAAGTAGGGTACAAACGGGTCATCTTTCCATGATAGAGTGAGCGCAAACAATCCAAAACCACCCCCCTCGTTGCGCGAAAGTCGTAGTCATAGTATGTAGGATAAATCACCCGCCACCACTGCAGAACCTTCGATTTTGCCTGAGGTCTTCGCTCCTTACTTCCTCTGTTGGGAAACGGAAAGGGGCACACGGTTTTTCGCACTCTCCAGCACCATTGCCACCTATTACCCAGCAGCAGCTGCTGGGGTCGGATTGTTGTGTTTGGAAAAGATGAAAAAAACGTCGAACTTCAACTACCAAGTTCCGCCGTGCCGCCATTCTCTGCGCGAGCAAGCTCCTTGTGCTGCTGCATTATTCGAAAATATACAAGCAAAGGCATTACATTTTCATCGTTGCTGGCGCTCCTGCGCTGAATGTTGTTTGGGAGCCGCACGTCAACTAGATTCCCGCAAAAAAAAAACGTTTGTGACTGCCGTACTCGGCTACTTCGCCGCCCGCCGTTAGTATTCGCCACGGGAGGGGAATTTTTATGCGCACATGCTACCCTAGCTTTTTGCCATGGACCTCCGACGTACTATTTAAACCTAATAACCAAGTACCAAAGGAGTTCGGAGGTCGGAGTTCTGGCGCGAAGCAGCGAAGGTTACGCCGCCGGGAACCAGAATGCTCATTTTCGGGGATGGAACGTATCCCCCCCTCCGACCAGCACCGCCGAGCGAAAGGCGTCAGGGCGAGCGTTCCGCAGAGAGGAGGAGGAGGAGGAGGAGCACGAGGGCGCGAGAGAGTAAGAACAGGCGCACGACCGCGCGCTCTAGGGAGATGCAGTGGCTCACTGCAATGGTCAGTAGCGGCGCCAAAAAGAAAAAGCCCGCGCCTCCTGCCCTTCTTCAACCCTCGGAGCTTGCCACAGGAGGCTCCCCTGTTGGCGACAACACCAGTGCGGCAGCGGTAGAGAAGCAGCCGAGTCCAGAGAAACGGCGCGAAGATGCCAGGGACGAGGGGAGAGTTGTGAGCGGGGAAGGTTCGGAGAGTTTGTCAAAACCGTCGCAGCAACCGGCGGCGACGGCAGCGCCAGCAGCGCCGGAGGTAAACGGCGACGAGCAGCAGCAGCAGCAGCAGCAGCAGCAAGACGAGCAACAACACCAGCATCACCAAGACCAGCAACCGCCGACGGCGGCGCCCTGGCTGGATTCTCTACTGTCCAAGGCTTCCCGTGGCCCCACCTTCGAGCAGCAACAGCTGGGCCAGCAGCATCAACAGCAACAGCGACAAGGGCATCAGGTAGATCTACCGAGTGCGGCCTCCGATCAGCGGAGACCGCCGCCGCCCCCACGACCACAGCCCCAGGTGCTGCTGTCACCCTCTTCGCTACTGAAATCGCCACCGCAAGGACGCCAACCGTCTCCGGTGGCAGTCGCAGAGACCCAAGAATCCGGAACCAATCTCAAAGGAACGCAACAGGAGAACGGCCCCCGCGGCAGCGGCCGGAGAGGGAGCGGGGTCGGCGGCGGCGGCGGCGGCGGACACGATGGGCAAGGAGACAAGGGCGGTGGAGGCGGGTCTCTGGGAGACGCCGCTGGGGACGCGGGCGGGGGTCGGGCCCAGGGCAAGGGGAAGCGGAAAGGTGGTGGCGGCGGCAACACGGGGAAAGTAGGCGGCCGCGGTAGCAGAAGCGGGCGTAGCGCGGCGGTGGCAGCGGCGGCGGGGCGAGGCAGAGGGGTGGCTGGGACCGGGGGCGAGGCGGGGGCGGGGCGTGTGAGGGAGAAGGAGGCTGAGGTCGAGTTGCTGGGTATTTTGTTCGGGGAGAGGGGCGGCCAGAAGGAAGAGCGGCCGGAGGAGGAAGAAGAGGAGGAGGAGGAGGCCGGCCGTCGCAAGATTTACAAGGGTTGCGAGCACGGGAAGGTGGGCAAAATCCGTTGAAAGTATCATGTTCAACTCCCAAATATAACACCGACAAGTGCAACAGGGCGGAAAAGGGAGGCTTTGCCTGCTAGACGAGAAGGCGGTGATTTCACCTGCCTTCTCTGATACGGCCTGTTTGCTCCTTCCACTACTATTCATACGAGTATATTCGACTATGTGGCACGTAGTACGCGCTCACACGTTGGGTGCAGACCTTGCCAGCATTTGCGTGTACGAGGGATATCTATTTGTAGTGATGAACGATCGTGAGATCGACAGTTATAGTCAATGACCAAACGCGAACCAGCAGATGGGGAAACCGAGGAGAAGAGGTCAAGGTCGAAAAAGAAGTCGTCACGGGTGGAGTTGTTTTTCTGGGCCGCCACTTTTCGGGGGGGGGGGTTGTAGTCCCGTACAGCGGTGCCGTCGCCGCATGCCTTCCGTCCTTCACACCCTCCTTCAAATTGACAAGGAGGCGTCGTTTGGCACATGGTTAGGAGTGAAACACTGAGCCTAATCGGCTGTCGCGCGTTCACGGAATCGACCACGAACAGATAAGTATGCTCCTCTGCTCCACGTTTCCGCAGCGAAACTTGTTGCATGTACAAACGCTCTTTTTCGTAGGACAGCCGAAGCGAAAACGCACAAGGATAATCAATAGAGGTGCCTTCCAGGGGGGAGGGATGGAACGGTTTCGAACAGGTTTTGTACAATGACGGGAGGGCTCGATAGCGCCGATTGGGAAAAGCCGGGTGCCGGGTAAACGGCGCGGCGCAGACGTTGCAACCAGTTTCGTCATACTACGATTGTCGTGCCGAACCCCGCCTGTCACATGAGAGATAAAAAAGGATCTTCGCCCTTAGAAGGAAGGAGAAACGGAGAGCGGACAGGATAAGAAATGATGTACTTGTTCTGTTGTGTGAACGAACGTTGAAAGAGTGCGCGAATAGTTGGTGTTTGTCCGTCGTTTTAGAAGGCACACACACAACAGCAGTAATTTTTGAAAGCAGACACACAACAGCAGTCATTTTAGAAGGCAGACACACAACAGCAGTCGTTTTATAGGCACGCACAAGGTGTACGCAAGGTGTGCCCGGCCTTGACCCGTTGCTGAGCGATTTCGTGGTCATGTGACATCTGCAAGAGTAGGCACCGAACGAGTCCGCCCCCATCTCCCCAAAACCAAGAGCTGAAAAACACCCACAAGCAATATTATGGCGGTACTTTTGGCTGTAGCGCCTGCCTTGACAAATACAAAGGAGTACCGATTCTAGAAAATGTCATGCGTCATGCCAACTGCAAACAAAGCACACCCTTGCCTTCTTTTTTTTTTTTGCGCCTCCACCGCTGAAGGCGGTATTGAAGTTTTATTAGCACATGTACCTGCAAGTGCTTCCCTCTGTTATGCTCCCCGTTCCAGCATCAGGCAGCTTTGCGCACACAAGTCTCAAGCACATGTATGCCCATGCGTAACATCCCCGCAGGTGAAGTTCTTGTTCCCCAACATGTCCCCGAAGCGGCGGAACCGGTTGCGGTTCGACGAGGAGTCTCTTTGGAGCATCACGGACCAGAACACCGCAGACGAGGTGAGCTGCGTGGGTTGCTTTGCGGGAAGAAACGGACAAAAAAACGTTACCCTTGCGCCGACTGCGTGTACCTCCAAACATCATCCCCCCCCCCCGGCCACGCAAGGAAGTAAGCACAAGATGCTGAACACCCTTGGCAGGATGCAGCGCACCCTTCATGCGACTCGCCGAATACCTCACGGCGCTTCGCGCTTGGTGATGTGAGAGCCTGGTCCGGTGAGAACCCGGCGTGTCCGTCCCCGCTTTGTAGCGATGCGAGGTCAATGGTCGAATGACTACGGCATGCACGACTATGAGTACCCCCCCCCTCGGCCACGGTCCTATGGGAACAATGCTCCATCCTCTCAAGGACACGTGGTCAACGGTCTAACCGCTAAGGCATGCAAAAAAGCAAGAATGCGCGCCGCCCCCGCCCCCCCCGCCCCTTCCCAACAGACGAAACTTGATTTTTCTTTTTTGTTCTATTCCTCGTTTCTTTTCCAGATGACCAAGATCGCCCTTCTCCTTCCGGGCGTGTCCGCCTCGACCGCTATCGTGGACGGAACCGCCTGTGTCGGGGGCAACGCGATATCATTCGTCTCTGCGTTCGATGAAGTGTGGTGAGCGCTAGAGCGTTTGGTGTGCGCGATCACTGCCTTGTGTTCTAATCGTTGTTGGTAGGTTGGGGAAGCGAGAGATGAAGCAGACCAAAGAATAGCGCGTGTTGTCGATGGTGAAGTTTCGCGACAAGGCAAAAGCCCCCAAGAGGCCGTTTTTTGAAAAGTTTTTTGTCTGTTCAGGTCAGCTCGATCCATCCGAGAGACTTCGGATAATGTCAAATTATTTTTCTGTTTCTTGGTGCACATGCACATACGTTGTCCCTTTCCGGATTGTCGCCGTCATGATTCGGTGCAACTTCTCGTTGCGCTCGACGCCAATAAGAGAAAACAAAGAGCACGAAACAGAAGAAACATCGATCAGGATGGGTTGGACTCGACCATGGACAACTATAGTAGTAGTGGCGGCGATAACCCATGGCGAGCGTGCGAATTATGACTCCATCAAATGATGACTGCCTTCTTCTATTATGGAATACCGTTCACGGGTAGGTCGTGGGCCACCATCACCACCATCGACCCCCCTTGCTCTCCCGCGTCTCGTGCTTCGGTTGTTTCTCTCTCGCTCCCAGCACCCGACCGTACCTGTGTGCTCACGCGCACCTTCTTTCCAACGTTCGAGCGTGTGTGAAGAAAAAATCAAGAATTTTAGTATCTCACGAAACCAACAACCGGCAACATCCACGACGGACGCGTAAGAAAGATGACCGCCCCGAGAATCACGACAACGGCGAACAACACCCAGTAGTCCCCCTTCCTGTCGTTTTCCCTGTTTTGTCGCTCGCCTCTCATGACAACAAGAAAACCAACGGGCAACCCTCTCGCGTTTCCCGGTGTGTCGCCTCTCTTCGTTGATATTGACAATTAAAAAAAAAAAAAAACACACACACACACAGGGCCGTCGAGATCGATCCCGACAGGTTTGACCTCCTCAAGGGCAACGTGAAGAAGGCCATCGCCAGGTCCGCCCACAAGGAGAAGACCGTCCGGTTCTTCAACGCGGACTTCCTGCGGGTGCTGGAGACGGAGCGCGGTGGAATCGCCGAGAAGAGGCCTATCGTGTTCATCGATCCGCCGTGGGGGGGGGAGGAGTACAAGAAGAAGGTGAGAGGTTGGAGAATGTTGTTCTTTTTTTGTGGTTGTGGCGTCATGTTTTGCACCGAGACGGTGGTTGGTAGGGGGGCGGAGAGGAGTACGAGAAGAAGGTAAGAGGTCGGAGCACTTGTTTTGCTCTCTGTGGCCGGTTCGTTTCTCTTTGCACCTGGGCAGGTGTTCCACATGAGATGCCCTCACTTGTACTGTTGTGCGTTTTCTAACAGTCGTGGGAGGGCGCGACGTTGGTAGGCGCGACGTTGGTAGCAGTCGTTTTCTTTTTTTCTTTGGTTACCAGAGAATTTCGTTTTTTGTTGCTGGCGCGCTCTCGTTGTTTGATGTACCCCGATACGACCCGTCATCGTGGCGTGTTGAGGCTTCCTTCCTTCGTGTCATAAAATACAATATGGGATGGGACGGCAACAAACAAAAAATACAACTTTGATGTGTACTTCTACAATTCAGCGATCCTCGCACCTATAGGACATTGCTTGTGAGCCACCCTTCTGCTGTTGTCAGACCACCCCCCCCCCCTATTTTTCAGCGACTTAAGCCACTTCTCTTGTCTCCCTGCTGTTGCTTGTATGTTCAATTCGAATGCTTTGGTTGCTGCTGCTGCTGCTGCGATTCAGGGCTTGGTGGACCTGTCCCTGTCTGACACGCCGATGGTGGACGTGTGCGGCCGCGCGGCCAAGGCGGGCGCGAGGCACGTCCTCCTGAAGGTGACGACAAGCGACATGCCATGAGATGGAGATGTAGATAGAGATATAGATAGGAAGGGGAGTGTGTGGATGGTTACTGTAGGCGTTTGCCAAGTAAAGGTCGGGAAATAGATGGAGGTAGGTAAGGCAGACAGGACTGACAGACAGACACAACAGGTAGAAAGGCGGACAGACAGACAGACAGACAGACAGACAGACAGACAGACAGACAGACAGACAGACAAACGACCGCACAGATCTACAAACAAGAGAGAGGCAGAGGAGGAGAGAGGTAGACAGAGTGGAGAAGCACATTCATGCAGGCAGAGACGACCAAAGACAGAAGGCTAGCCGCAGCCATACATGCAGGCGGACATGGACAACGGTATGTATGTAACACGCGCTGGCAGAAGCAAATAATGCAGACGGAGATGGACAAATATGTGCAGCAGGAAGAGGGAGAGGCGCGCACGAGAAGGAAGGAGGCGGGAAAGACTAAGCGTGCGTTTCGTGGCCGCAGCGATAGCGACAACGGGTGATACGTTATCTATCGGCAGCACAGCACACTTTTTTGGCATCCTACATGCCTCGAGCGACACACAAAAGTACGCAGGAGAACCCAACCCGCGCCGATGGTAGCGTCTCGGGACATGCCGCTGCCAAAAGAACGCTAGTTTTCCGCAAGAAGATGAACCCGTCTCCCGAGGTAGTCCGGTAGAGCGCGCAAGCTCTCTCTTCCGGCCCTCTTTGACCGCCCCTAGAATAGCCAACACTCACCAAATAGACGAAACCAGGGGAAGATGTTTTGGGGCACTCGGTGTCCGAATACTTACCTACGGGGACCCTGCGGATACGCCGGGGGCCCCTGAAGGGTCTGCATGGTGGTGTGCCACTCGTTCGGTCTCATTTACGAATTTAATCGTGTTGAGCAAAACTTAGCATTCTGTTCCTGCGCTAGTCTCGTTTGTCGATGACAATGTGTTGAGCCTACCTTAGCCCTCTTTTCTTCGCTTGTTCGGCCTCTGACGAAGGCTGCCCGCGTGACAAAAACTCGATGTAAATCGTGTAGGCCTGGTGCAGGCGGCGGGGTAGTTCGGGTAATAGTGGTACAAAGCAGAGAGACCACCGACAATGCTTGCCACGCCCCTCCCCCCCCCCATCTCGGGCGGCCTATCT